CCTCAAACCAAAAAGGAGTCACCTGTTTAATATACCAGTTTCATTTTTGACTCTGAAGCAAACCAAACCTATGTCTACCTTTTTCTACCCTCATTCAAATTCTGTGTGTAACTTTTTTCAACCTCATGCAAAACCAAACTTGTTTCTACCTCTTGACTTTAGTGTAAGCCAAAACAATGGCCACCTTTTTTACTCTCATGTGAAACAGACCTATGGCTACCATTTTTACACTCATGCAAAACAAACTGATGTTTACTTTTATCGCTAGAATGTAAACCCGACCTATGGCTACCTTTTTTAAGTTGAGTATAAACCAGATTCATGGCTATGTTTATGACTCTTGTACAAAGCAGACCTTTTTGATTCTAACGCAAACTGAACCTAGGTCTACCTTTTTTATTCTAATGCAAACTGGACCTACGTCTACCTTTTCGATTCTAACGCAAACTGGACCTATGTCTACCTTTTTGATTCTAACGCAAAGTGAACCAATGTCTACCTTTTTGATTCTAACGCAAAGTGAACCAATGTCTACCTTTTTGATTCTAACGCAAACTGAACCGATGTCTACCTTTTTGATTCTAACGCAAACTGGACCTATGTCTACCTTTTTGACACTTGTACATCAAGACCTACACTGACCGACCCATTGTTTATTTAAAAAAACAACAGAATTTGCAATTAAATAACCATAAGACAAAACCAAACCAACATACCACTCGAAGAATATTATTTTGCATCAATGATATATGATTTTAAGCCAGAAATAATTGGTAATATAAACATCCAATAGGAAAACAAGAAACTGAAGTGCCTGTCTACTTTGGTTTTCTGGATATATATATTTTTTTTTTTTTTAACTCTACTCATCTTTTATTGATTTCAATGCAAATTTCTTTCACAAAATAATAAGAGAATCAATACAATTAATCAGGAAGGTTTAATTTTGCTTGTCTCTCTATGAGAGTTTATGTTTGTCCTTTTCTGTTTCATTTCATTTTACTTGAATCTCTTTCAGTCTTCAGCCATGATGTTTTCTTCATTTATTTCTTGTATATGAATCAGTCCTATTCTCAAGGATAACAAACATCATATCCAACACGTCTGAGATATATTTTATTATTATACACTAACATACCAAAAGTTATGGGGAATATACCTAATATTATGTTGGATGCTACCGAAACTGGGGAAGTGTAGTGATTCAATACGGCATTGATTCAACAAGTGGAATTTCTACAGATGCTGAGCTATGCTGTCTTGATAATTGTCCACAGCTCTATTTTTAACCAAATTGAACTGAGAGTATATATATAGTTTTTTATTTTATTTTTTATATTCAACATCATCACTTGATAAGACACAGGAGGTGCTGAAACAAAATGGCTATTTTTGTAGTGATTTTATAACATATTTATATTACAATTTTTAAATAAACAATTATATATATATATATATATATGATATGCGTGGTACTTAGTGGAAATTGCTCAATATCTGTGATAGAGTTAACATATTTAGTTGTATGGATATTAGTTTGTAACCCTGGGTTTCACACTTTTGCAATCATCAGACACACTATTATTTTATTTTTCGCAAGTTTGATTAGACAGGATGTGGGTTTTGCATCAAAGTTTGGTTTATGGTCCATTGCTGTAATGAATGCTTGTCGTTAAGCTACGTGATTTATCTTTTTGTCTATTTTCAGTTTAGCTGCTATATATTAGGCTTCCTGATTAATGTCATTTCTTACACTTTCAGTTGTCTTTTTGTATAATTGTGTAATGTTGTTAGTCATAAGGTAACATAGTGTACATGTTTCTTGTTTTGTTAGCAAATATAAATAATTTTTGTCTGATGATCACAAAAGCGTGAAACCAAGGTTTACAAACTAATATCCATGCAACTGAATATATATTTTTTCATAAGGACTATAAATAAGTGCCTACCTCACAATTCAATGTATTTACTAAATTCAGTTATTCCTTCAAGTTTTAAATGTCATAATTCAGATCTATATAGTTTTTTTTTTTTTTTTTTTCATTGACAGTTTATATATTAGTTTAAAGTTTTAAAATAATTATTTGCAGCAGGATACTTGCATGCTGACAAAAAGATATTCTATTGGACGCACATTTCTGTCCTTTTATCATTTAATCAGTTTGACTCTTTTTTTCCGTTTGGCACTTTGTTAATTTGACACATTGATTGTTTGATACTTAGTCCATTTGGCACTTTTTTCGACATTTTATCCATTCAACACTGTCTGTGCATGGTTGACTACAACAACCATATTTATATTTATGCCTCATAACTGATTATCTCCCTTTTTTCATCCTTTCTTCCCCTTGTTCTCTCCCTTTGTCCCCAACTCATTCTCGCCCATTTTTCTATCTCTTCCTCCCCAACTCATTCTCGCCCATCTCTTCCTCCCCAACTCATTCTCGCCCATCTCTTCCTCCCCAACTCATTCTAAGCCCATTTTCTATCTCTTCCTCCCAAACTCATTCTCACCCATCTCTTCCTCCCCAACTGATTCTCTCCCATTTTTCTATCTCTTCCTCCTCAACTGATTCTCTCCCATTTTTCTATCTCTTCCTCCCAAACTCATTCTCACCCATCTCTTCCATCTCTTCCTCCTCAACTCATTCTCACCCATCTCTTCCATCTCTTCCTTCTCAACTCATTCTCGCCCATCTCTTCCCACCCAACTCATTCTCGCCCATCTCTTCCCACCCAACTCATTCTCGCCCATCTCTTCCCACCCAACTCATTCTCGCCCATCTCTTCCTCCCCAACTCATTCTCGCCCATCTCTTCCTCCCCAACTCATTCTCGCCCATCTCTTCCTCCCCAACTCATTCTCGCCCATCTCTTCCTCCCCAACTCATTCTCGCCCATTTTTCTATCTCTTCCTCCCCAACTCATTCTCGCCCATCTCTTCCTCCCCAACTCATTCTCACTCATTTTTCTCTCCCTTCCTCCCAAATGATTCTCACCCATTTTTCACCTCTTCCCCCCCCCAACTGATTCTCGCCCATTTTTCTATCTCTTCCTCCCCAACTCATTCTCGCCCATTTTTCTATCTCTTCCTCCCCAACTCATTCTCGCCCATCTCTTCCTCCCCAACTCATTCTCACTCATTTTTCTCTCCCTTCCTCCCATTTGATTCTCACTCATTTTTCTCTCCCTTCCTCCCATTTGATTCTCGCCCATTTTCACTCTTCCCCCAAATGATTCTCACCCATTTTCACCTCTTCCCCCCCAACTGATTCTCGCCCATTTTCTATCTCTTCCTCCCCAACTCATTCTCGCCCATTTTCTATCTCTTCCTCCCCAACTCATTCTCGCCCATTCTTCCTCCCCAACTCATTCTCGCCCATCTCTTCCTCCCCAACTCATTCTCACTCATTTTTCTCTCCCTTCCTCCCATTTGATTCTCACCCATTTTTCACTCTCTTCCCCCCAAATGATTCTCACCCATTTTCACACTCTTCCCCCCCCCAACTGATTCTCGCCCATTTTTCTATCTCTTCCTCCCCAACTCATTCTCGCCCATTTTTCTATCTCTTCCTCCCCAACTCATTCTCGCCCATTTTTCTATCTCATTCTCGCCATTTTTCTATCTCTTCCTCCCCAACTCATTCTCGCCCATCTCTTCCTCCCCAACTCATTCTCACTCATTTTTCTCTCCCTTCCTCCCATTTGATTCTCGCCCATTTTTCCTTCTCTATTCTCTCTATGGTTTTTCCAACATTATCAGTTTTCAGTCTATAACATTGTTATTTTTTTTCTTTGTTAAGTTTTCAACCCCTAACTTTTCCTTCTTTTCTTTGTCTTTCTCCTCATTTTTCATCTTTGCTATTATCATCTTCAAGACTCTCTTTCTTTTTCTCTTCTCTGTATTTCTTTTTGTCATCATCACTTCTTAGAATCCTGCTTTTCCTTCTCACTGCACTTTTCCTTTTGGTAATCATCAACTCTCAGAATCTTTTTTTTTTCTCCATCTCTGCATTTTACCTCTTTGCTACCATCAACTCAAAAAGTATCTTTCTTTTCCTTCTCTTTGTATTCTTCTCCTTTTCATCCTCACTCGTAATCATCTGCCAGCATATCTTTCTTTAGACCATCCATAGAAGTGCCTTTTAAATTTCATAACTGCGTTTGACAGACTATAAAAAAAAATTGAAATCAAACTTAATCCTCTCAAGCCTAAAAGGGACAAATGACAAGGCTTCATTTACTTTCCACTTTGTTTTTTCTAGCTTTGACTTTTCTCTTTTCCCAGTGACATTAAATGAAGCCAATAATGGTGGTTGCCAACTATCAGAATGTCTAACATTGGTCATCTTTTACTCTTAAACAAAGTACTGACTGTTCACATTGCTAAGGGGACATAGCAATTAATGTTAACATTAAATTCCTAATGTGTCAAACACAATACACAGCTTGTAAACATTTCATGGTTTCAAGCAACTTTCTGACAACTTTGACAACAATTTTAAGTCTTTTATAATTGCTGTTCCTTATTTTTGATTCAATTGAGTGAAGGCTGCTTTCTTTATTTTCTCCTTCAAAACAAATTCTGATTGTGCACTTTTATTTTCTGATCAAATTGATCCTGATGCTTGGTCAGACATCTTCATTTCATCATTTGCATTGATTTTTCCTTTCCTTGGGATTGTCTGGATTTTGTCCATGGAGAAAATATGGTCCATTTTTGTAGGTTACCATTTCTGTTTTGCTTTTAACCAGATATGGTTGACAAGAAGAAGTTGGGATAATGTAGATAAATGGAAAGAAAGAAAAGACAATAAGGAAAGTTTCAATGCAGGGAAAGAAGTAAAAAAAAATATTTTCAAATAAAAAGAAGAGAAACTTGCAAGATGGAAGAATGAATAAAAGATGTGAGAAAAAAAATGTTGACACAGAGAGGATCAAGTGAGAGAGAAAAAGATACAGACTAAAAGAGAGAGAGAAAAAGAAAATAAAGGATACGAATTAAAAGAGGAGAGTCAGAAAAAAGGATACAGAATGAAGTGAGGGAGAGAGAGAGAGAAAAGGATACAGAATGAAGTGAGGGAGAGAGAGAGAGAGAGAGAGAGAGAGAAAAGGATACAGAATGAAGAAAGAGAGAGAGAGAGAAAAAGGATACAGAATGAAGGAATAGAGAGAGAGAGAGAAAAGGATACAGAATGAAGGGAGGGAGAGAAAGAGAAAAAGGATACAGAATGAAGGGAGGGAGAGAGAGAAAAAAGGATACAGAATGAAGGGAGAGAGGGAGAGAAAAAAGGATACAGAATGAAGGGAGAGAGAGAGAGAGAAAAAAAAGATACAGAATGAAGGGAGAGAGAGAGAAAAAAAAGATACAGAATGAAGGGAGAGAGAGAAAAAAACGATACAGAATGAAGGGGAGAGAGAGAGAAAAAAGGATACAGAATGAAGGGAGAGAGAGAAAAAAGGATACAGAATGAAGGGAGAGAGAGAAAAAGGATACAGAATGAAAGAGAGAGAAAGAAAAAAAGGATACAGAATGAAGGGGAGAGAGAGAAAGAAAAAAAGGATACAGAATGAAGGGAGAGAGAGAGAAAAAAAGGATACAGAATGAAGGGAGAGAGAGAGAAAAAAAGGATACAGAATGAAGGGAGAGAGAGAAAGAGAAAAAAAGGATACAGAATGAAGGGAGAGGGAGAGAGAGAGAAAGGATACAGAATGAAGGGAGAGAGAGAGAAAAAAAAGATACAGAATGAAGGGAGAGAGAGAAAAAAAGGATACAGAATGAAGGGAGAGAGAGAGAAAAGAAGGATACAGAATGAAGGGAGAGAGAGAGAAAAAGGATACAGAATGAAGGGAGAGAGAGAGAGAAAAAAAGATACAGAATGAAGGGGAGAGAGAGAAAAAAAGGATACAGAATGAAGGGAGAGAGAGAAAAAAGGATACAGAATGAGGGGGAGAGAGAGAAAAAAGGATACAGAATGAAGGAGAGAGAGAAAAAATACAGAAGGATACAGAATGAGAATGAAGGAGAGAGAAAAAAGATACAGAATGAAGGAGAGAGAGAGAAAAAAAAAGATACAGAATGAAGGGGAGAGAGAAAAAAAAGATACAGAATGAAGGGGAGAGGGAGAGAGAAAAAAAAAGATACAGAATGAAGGGAGAGAGAGAGAAAAAAAAGATACAGAATGAAGGGAGAGAGAGAGAAAAAAAAGATACAGAATGAAGGGAGAGAGAGAAAAAAAGATACAGAATGAAGGGAGAGAGAGAGAAAAATGATACAGAATGAAGGGGGAGAGAGAGAAAAAAATGATACAGAATGAAGGGGGAGAGAGAGAAAAAAAGGATACAGAATGAATGGAGAGAGAGAAAGAGAAAAAAAGGATACAGAATGAAGGAGGAGAGGAGAAAAAAGGATACAGAATGAAGGGGAGAGAGAGAAAAAGGATACAGAATGAAGGGAGAGAGAGAGAAAAAAAGGATACAGAATGAAGGGAGAGAGAGAAAAAAAGGATACAGAATGAAGGGGGAGAGAGAGAAAGAGAAAAAAAGGATACAGAATGAAGGGAGAGAGAGAAAGAGAAAAAAAGGATACAGAATGAAGGGAGAGAGAGAAAGAGAAAAAAGGATACAGAATGAAGGGAGAGGGAGAGAGAGAGAAAGGATACAGAATGAAGGGAGAGAGAGAGAGAAAAAAGGATACAGAATGAAGGGGAGAGAGAGAAAAAAAGGATACAGAATGAAGGGAGAGAGAGAGAAAAAAAGGATACAGAATGAAGGGAGAGAGAGAAAAAAAAAGATACAGAATGAAGGGGAGAGAGAGAGATACAGAAAAAGGGATACAGAATGAAGGGAGAGAGAGAGAAAAAAATACAGAATGAAGGGGAGAGAGAAAAAAAGGATACAGAATGAAGGGAGAGAGAGAGAGAGAAAAAGGATACAGAATGAAGGGAGAGAGAGAGAGAAAAAAAGGATACAGAATGAAGGGGAGAGAGAGAAAGAGAAAAAGGATACAGAATGAAGGGAGAGAGAGAGAAAAAGGATACAGAATGAAGGAGGAGAGAGAAAAAGAATACAGAATGAAGGGGAGAGAGAGAAAAAGGATACAGAATGAGGGAGAGAGAGAGAAAGGATACAGAATGGAGGGAGAGAGAAAAGAATACAGAATGGAGGGAGAGAGAGAGAAAAAGAATACAGAATGAAGGGGAGAGATAGAAAAAGAATACAGAATGGAGGGAGAGAGAGAAAAAAAGAATACAGAATGGAGGGAGAGAGAAAGAATACAGAATGGAGGAGAGAGAGAGAAAAAGAATACAGAATGGAGGGAGATAGAAAAGAATACAGAATGGAGGGAGAGAGTGAAAAGGATACAGAATGAAGGGAGAGAGTGAAAAGGATACAGAATGAAGGGAGAGAGTGAAAAGGATACAGAATGAAGGGAGAGATAGAAAAGAATACAGAATGGAGGGAGAGGGAGAAAAGGATACAGAATGGAGGGAGAGGGAGAAAAGGATACAGAATGAAGGAGAGATAGAAAAAGGATACAGAATGAAGGGAGAGAGAGAAAAGGATACAGAATGGAGGGAGAGATAGAAAAGGATACAGAATGGAGGGAGAGATAGAAAAGGATACAGAATGAAGGGAGAGAGAGAAAAGGATACAGAATGAAGGGAGAGAGAGAAAAGGATACAGAATGAAGGGAGAGAGAGAAAAGGATACAGAATGGAGGGAGAGAGAGAAAAGGATACAGAATGGAGGGAGAGAGAGAAAAGGATACAGAATGGAGGGAGAGATAGAAAAGGATACAGAATGGAGGGAGAGAGAGAAAAGAATACAGAATGAAGGGAGAGAGTGAAAAGGATACAGAATGAAGGAGAGTGAAAAGGATACAGAATGGGAGGAGAGATAGAAAAAGAATACAGAATGGAGGGAGAGATAGAAAAAGAATACAGAATGAAGGGAGAGAGTGAAAAGGATACAGAATGAAGGGAGAGAGTGAAATGGATACAGAATGAAGGGAGAGAGAGAAAAGGATACAGAATGAAGGGAGAGAGAAAAGGATACAGAATGGAGGAGAGATAGAAAAGGATACAGAATGAAGGGGAGAGAGAAAAGGATACAGAATGAAGGGAGAGAGAGAAAAGGATACAGAATGAAGAGGAGAGAGAAAAGGATACAGAATGAAGGGAGAGAGAGAGAGAAAAAAGAATACAGAATGGAGGGAGAGAGAGAAAAGGATACAGAATGAAGGGAGAGAGAGAAAAGGATACAGAATGGAGGGAGAGAGAGAAAAGGATACAGAATGGAGGGAGAGATAGAAAAGAATACAGAATGGAGGGAGAGATAGAAAAGAATACAGAATGGAGGGAGAGAGAAAAGAATACAGAATGAATGGAGAGAGTGAAAAGGATACAGAATGAAGGGAGAGAGTGAAAAGGATACAGAATGAAGGGAGAGAGAGAAAAGGATACAGAATGAAGGGAGAGAGTGAAAAGGATACAGAATGAAGGGAGAGAGAGAAAAGGATACAGAATGAAGGGAGAGATAGAAAAGAATACAGAATGGAGGGAGAGGGAGAAAAGAATACAGAATGGAGGGAGAGGGAGAAAAGAATACAGAATGGAGGGAGAGAGAGAAAAGGATACAGAATGAAGGGAGAGAGAGAAAAGGATACAGAATGGAGGGAGAGAGAAAAGGATACAGAATGGAGGGAGAGAGAGAAAAGGATACAGAATGGAGGGAGAGAGAGAAAAGGATACAGAATGAAGGGAGAGAGAGAAAAGGATACAGAATGGAGGGAGAGAGAGAAAAGGATACAGAATGAAGGGAGAGAGAGAAAAGGATACAGAATGGAGGGAGAGAGAGAAAAGGATACAGAATGAAGGGAGAGAGTGAAAAGGATACAGAATGAAGGGAGAGAGAGTATGAAAAAAAGGAGAAAGAGAAACATAATGAAGGATTCATGGAGAACAAAGAGAGATCAGTGAGAGGAACAGGGACAGAAAGACAAAAGGTTAAGAGAACAGAGAAGATGAGAGACAAAAAAGAAGGGAAAAAAGACACTAAACAAATAAAGCCAAGAAAAAAAGACTCTCACATACCTTACGATGTTCTCACCTGTTATCACTCAATGAAATTTTCCTCCCACATTTGTTTATCATTTTCACTTTTACTCTCCTTAGAGAGCATAAGAAGTTAGCAACATTGTACAAATGGAAAACTTGATTTTTTTTAATTAATAACATTGAAATATTATTAATGGATTGTAAAACCTTTTGTCAATGAATGGTGACAAAAAAATTAATAAAGAATGAAATTAGGGAAAATGCACAAATGAAAACAGAGAAATTGAGAGACGATTAGGATAGGAAAGGAAAAATTTAAGTGCTTCTTGAAGAAATAAGAAGGGAGAAACTGATTTTTTAAAAATTGCATATTAAAAAAAAAGGAAAGAAAAAAAGAGAATGGAGGAGGAGAGTGAGAAAGAAAGGACGGAGAGAGACAGAGAAACAGAATAGATGAGGAGAGACAGAGAAACAGGATAGAGGGGAAGAAAGAGAATGAAGGGGGGAGAGAGAGAAACAGAATGGACGAGGGAGAGAGAGAAAGAGAATGGAGGAGCAGGAGGAAATGAAAGAGAATGCAGGAGGAGGAGGAGGAAATGAAAAAGAATGCAGGAGGAGGAGGAAATGAAAGAGAATGCAGGAGGAGGAGGAGGAGGAAATGAAAGAGAATGCAGGAGGAGGAAATGAAAAAGAATGCAGGAGGAGGAAATGAAAGAGAATGCAGGAGGAGGAAATGAAAGAGAATGCAGGAGGAGGAAATGAAAGAGAATGCAGGAGGAGGAGGAAATGAAAGAGAATGCAGGAGGAGGAGGAAATGAAAGAGAATGCAGGAGGAGGAGGAAATGAAAGAGAATGCAGGAGGAGGAGGAAATGAAAGAGAATGCAGGAGGAGGAGGAAATGAAAAAGAATGCAGGAGGAGGAGGAAATGAAAAAGAATGCAGGAGGAAATGAAATGAAAAGGAGAATGAGGAGGAGGAGGAAATGAAAGAGAATGCAGGAGGAGGAGGAGGAAATGAAAAAGAATGCAGGAGGAGGAGGAGGAAATGAAAAAGAATGCAGGAGGAGGAGGAGGAAATGAAAAAGAATGCAGGAGGAGGAGGAGGAAATGAAAAAGAATGCAGGAGGAGGAGGAAATGAAAGAGAATGCAGGAGGAGCAGGAGGAAATGAAAGAGAATGCAGGAGGAGGAGGAGGAAATGAAAGAGAATGCAGGAGGAGGAGGAAATGAAAAAGAATGCAGGAGGAGGAGGAAATGAAAAAGAATGCAGGAGGAGGAAATGAAAAAGAATGCAGGAGGAGGAGGAAATGAAAAAGAATGCAGGAGGAGGAGGAAATGAAAAAGAATGCAGGAGGAGGAATGCAGGGAGCAGGAGGAAATGAAAAAGAATGCAGGAGGAGGAGGAGCAGGAGGAAATGAAAGAAAAGAATGCAGGAGGAGGAGGAGGAAATGAAAGAGAATGCAGGAGGAGGAGGAAATGAAAAAGAATGCAGGAGGAGGAGAAATGAAAAAAGAATGCAGGAGGAGGAGGAGGAAATGCAGGAGGAAAAAGAATGCAGGAGGAGGAGGAAATGAAAAAAAAGAATGCAGGAGGAGGAGAAAATATAAGAGAATGCAGGAGGAGGAGAAAGAGAAACAGAATGGAGGCAGAGGAGAAAGTGACAGATAATGTAGGAGCAGTGGTGGAGACAGAAATAGGGAGACCAATGGATGGAGAACAGAGAAAGTGAAAGAGAAATCAATGACTACAGAAGCAAAAGAGAAACAAATGAAACTGAAAGAGAAATGTTAAAGGAAGAATGTCAAGGTTAAGTGAATGTGGACAAAATAATGGCTTTTGATTTATTCACATGAATTTGCTAGATGAAATGGGTGTCATCTTTTGATATGAAAAAAAAAAGGTAAAACAAAATGTTTTAATCTCTATTTCTAAACTGACACAAATCTTTATGATCCTTTCATATAAAATGAGATATCTTGTTCTTTGGACATTCAAAATAACCATATCATCTTGAATTCATACCAATTTAGCCTTAAGTTGAAATTACATGCCTTAGGTTTTATTCAAAATAATCAAGAACTGTTTATCACTATATATGAAATATCATCCTCAGTACCTGGTACCAATTTAGCCTTAAAAGCGAGATTACACACCTTAGATTGCATTCAAAATAATCAAGAACCATATATTATTATATATAAAATATAATCCTCAATCCCTGAAACCAATTTAGACTGTGGGTTTTTGCAAAGACAGTCCTTCTTTGAACTTTGTAAATTGGCACTACAGAATCAAAGAAATAAATGTACCACATAATAGAAACATCACTTGAGGACATTCAACTGCAGCAACATCAAAAATGGATAGCACATGTAACTAAAGAAGAAAATAATGGCATAATCAAGATGTTGACTTTCCACACGACTTCAAATAAAAGGTTAGGAAGGAAACCCCCATTAATACTGGGAAGAGCAATAACAGCTACTGGACTTGAGAAATCTATTTTCCTGAAAAATTGTTTTAAGAGAAAGATTTTATAAATTGTAAGCAAAAACAATACTGCTGCTTGATTGATGAATGCCAAATGTTTCTGTTATATAGCGCACATATGAACACTAATGGGTATGTCCCAATCCTCATAAATATGTTGGACACTATTGGAAGTGGAGGCTAATATAGTCCACCAGTAGCAGTAGTTTACTTACTTCACACTGCTGGCGAGTATTGTATTTTGCTATGTTATAAAGATTACTATTTCATTTTCAACCTCTATTTTGGTTATTCCTCATTCAGTAACCCTTTCTAGGATACAACAGATGGTTTCTTCTGTAAATAGAGGATGCAGGTTCAAATTCTGCTGGGGGGCACATCTTTCATAAGTTCTCTCAACTGTGCAGGTCATTAGACGAAATAAATACTGTTTAAAACAAAAGGATTTGACTACTCAAATATGGGTACCCACTCATATTTTTTGAAGTTATATATATATGTATATATATATATGCATATTTTTTTTCATAATTGTTGAAACAAAGCAGCTGTCGCTCAGATGGAGAGGGCTGAAGAAGCAGGAGGATCTTGATGAGTGGTTCCAGTGAGATGGTGCTCCTCCTCACACTGCTAATGTTACAATGGCATCACTCCATGAAAGGTTTGGGGAGTATCTTATCAGCCACAAAGCTGAATTGAAATGAGTACATCACTCAGCTAACCTGACCCCCCCCCCAGATCTCTTCTTCTGGTGGGGTCCTCAAGGACAATATCTACCAAGGCAACCCTCGCACCATTACTGCACTGAAGGCAGCCATCAGTGAGAAGATTCAAGCAATCACCCGGGAGAAATGTGCACGCTTTATCAACAAGTTTACATTTGACAGTGTCTTCAACTGAACGACAGGCATCTGAAGCTTGTAATCTAAGGTTCCTCTTGAAATTTTTGGTTCATGTTTGAAACTAATTCTTGCTGATTCTAAAATGTTATCCTTTTACCTGTCAATAAACATAATTTCCATTACTCTATCATTTGTGGTCCTTGATTTGTGCCTAATCATTTTGTTTCATTGTTTTTTAAAAAAACCCAATGAAACAAAATTATATATATATATATATGTGAAAAGTGTATATAAATATAAATAAATAAATATATATATATGTATAATTATTTATATATTATATGCGCGGTACTTTAAAGCGTGAAACCCAGGGTCACAAACTCACATCTATCCAACCAAATATATATATATATATATATATATATAAATATATATATATATATACACACACACACAGAGACGTATAAATACTTGACTCTCCCATCAAATTTGACATATGAGGGTCAAGCAGCTCAGTTTCTAGGAGCCGACAGCCCAACACCACCACATGAGATTTGATTACACTGGTGAATGTTTTGTGCAGAACCATCCACCCTTTTTGAAGGGCCGAATACAGAGACCTGGTACACTACGTGCCACAAGGTCCCCAAACGACCCTCTGCAGGTTTTGAATTCAGAGTTGTCCTTCTACTTGACCAGTTGCCATCCAAGGCTATAGAACCCAGTCTGTCCTGCTATTTATCCATAGCTGGAGGGAGAAGAAGAGGATTCATAACTTTCCCAATGGTATTAGCACGTAAGTGAATGTAATTGATTCAAATAGAATTCAAACTCAGCTCTCCGATTCCTCAATCCAAGCCAGTAACCATTACTCCACCATGCTTGGATATATATATATATATATATATATATATATATATATATTCACCTCATGAAAGAAGCAACCTACAAATAACAAATTATACAACAAACAACCCAGTCATATCAGAAACACTTTGTTGGACCTTGATGACATACCAAACACAAACTAGCAAGAAACTTAAAACTTTGTACACTCAGGGATTCATGGATTGAATCAGCAACAACATGTTAACTGTGCTCAGATGCTGGATGCATCTTGGATGACCAACCTCAGATCTGATGCAATACTGTTATAGGTGGTGTGCAGGAGTTAAAACCCACCATGCTATATAGACAGGGGTGGACCATCTTTATTCCATTGGTAAGATTGATTGACTCGTTTTTATGGCTTATCAACTCTTTGCAGATTATATAAAGCCAGAAATTTCTTTTAGATTGTAAGAATGTTTTGATAATAATGATTTAATGATACAAGTCTTACTAATTAACCCGTAGCAAAAGGGAGAAAAGTTGGATTCATACTGTTCCCAAGAGTATTTGCATGTAAATGAATATAACGAACCTGACTGTAATTTGAACTCAGCTCTCCAATTTCCAATTCTGAGCTGTTATCCATTGCACCACCTGCACATCCAAGCTTACAGCATCTGGTTTTCCCAAGTGGTCACCAATCTAGGTACTCACTAGGCTAGATGTTGCTTAACTTCAGTGATTATATGGGAACCAATATTTCAATGCAATATGGCCATCTGCCTCCATTGGTAAGAAAGAAGTCCCATTTAGACAGCTTCTTCCAAAGAGCTGCTACTTCTTTGTTAACATATTCCCAAGTGGATGCTTCCCAAAATATTACAATCTTAACCTCTTCAATTTTAGGGTCAACCATATTTTTTTATGTATCATCAAAATCTGCACTTATTACTCTATTCACTATCCTACATCCATACAAAAAAAAAAAAGCACATTTTGAAATCCTCTACCTTGAGTGGCTTTTGGGCCCTGTATTGGATGAACATTAAGTTAAAAAAAAATGGTTTTAACTACAGCAAATGATGAACCTTCACCTTTGACAATGAAACAAATAAACAGGTGTTATTTTGGGGGTCTTGGCATACTCTAAAATTTTTCCCACATAAACTCTTGATTTTATGACATTTCAGAGAAGGGAGTAAAAGCAACTCATACAAATATAGATTTTTGTATTAAGCTATTATTTCTTTCACTAATTATTTACCATTTTGAACTTGACTGCATTACCTCTGAATACCTGTCAGAATCATAATTCCCATAACCATTTTAGATTATAGGGTCACCACATCTACTGCAACTACAACAGCAGTAGGTGTGTCAAGGGTAAAATAACCTGACAGAGCCTATCCCTCTTCAGGGCTGCTTTTGAATACAAATTTTCTTTCTCTTAGACTGGTTGCACAACCAATTCTAAGAAGACCACTCTGTCCTATTATTTTTAATTTCACACCTTTTCTAGGCTAACTATCCTACTAATGTTAAAGAAAACTTAGTATCCTGCTATTTAACCCATAGCTGAAAGAAGATGAATTCATACATTTCCAAAGGAAGTGATACAAAATGAACAAAACACAGTTGGTCAGAACTGGAACTCTCCACATTAATTCCACTTTCAATGCAAAAATAATGGTTTCCACTAACGTCGCATCTTGTACATCTAGCTACAAATACCTGAATTTGTAATTGTTGTATCTCTAAAAAAAAGGTTACAGACAAAGGTGGTACTTGAGTGAAGGAACAGAAACATGCGTGTAGATAAAAGAGAGGTTTATTGTAAAATACACTACTGAAAGACGGAATGGGTGGCAAGCTAGTAATTCCTGAAGCAAGCCCCCAGGTATATCCTGTGCTCACTATATATATATATATATATATATATATATATATATATATATATATATATAGAAAAATTTTGAAAAAACAAAAAAAAATTTAAATGTAGTTAAATGAAAGAAATGTCTTTCATTTAACTACATTTAAGGATTTTTGTTTGTTTTTTCAAAATTTCTTCATTCTGTCGGATTTATATCCATTTACACTTGCTTATATATATATATATATATATATATATATATATATATATATATATATGATATAGTCAGTCCCATAGGCTTATAGTGAGTGTGGGACATTCCATTACAACAATAATTAAATATCATTCTTTACTAATCATTATCATTAAAAGCTTCACTTCTTCTATGTGCTGTGTCCCAATTGCAATTATGGCTCTCCACAATTTCTTTTTCTTTGTAGCTCTGAATAAATTTTGTCTTTTTGTTACTCTTCTAAACATTGTGCAGCCATCCATTTAGTCAATCTTGTCACGTAGGTTATGCATTGCTTTCCTCTGTTCCTATTATTTTCAATCTGTCCTGTGAATATCAAACTCTCCAAACCCTCTTTCCTGATTAAGTGCTCTAGAAATTTCAACCATTTTTTTCTGATAGTAAGTAAAATTGTCTTTGTTCTTTCCATTTTCTCTAAAACTTTGTTGTTGCTCACATGTTCAGTTCATGGTATCCTCACCATTTTTCTGTAGAATGACATTTCTGTTGCTTCAAGTGACTTCTTCGTCAATACCATATAGGAGAACTGATATTTCATAACAGCTGAGAACTCCTTTTTCTTTTATTTCTAACAAAATTTTTCCGTTTCTTAATACTTTGCTTAGTTTTTTGAAGGCATTCAAAATACCTGTTACAAACAAATCCTGTAACCTATTTGAATCATAGCAGCACCACACGTACTGTAGCCATAGCAGCAGGTGGTGTGTCTCAAGCAGAATGACAACATTCCTTTTCAGGCTGGTTTCTTTCTGCCTTCTTTCTCAACTAATCACCCAGCCAACGATATAGTCTACCTTATTATTTATTAGGGTGTTTTCTTTAGATTGGCAACTAAGACAAGAGATCACTGTCTGCACTGCAATTTAACCCATAGTTGGAAGATGATTTTGAAAAGCATTAATGCAAAATGAAAGAAGCTGTTGCCCTCACATCTTGCATATTATTTAATTGCAAATACCTGTATCTCCCCTATCAAAGATAAAGAGCCCAGTCTCTCCTATTATTTATGAGGATTTCCAATTCATAGTTATCCTCCTCCTTGAGTGTTTGCTTTATCAAAGATAAGAGCCATGGCTGTCCTGCTACTTAACCCTTAGCTAGGGAGAGATGGATTCATGCTTTTTCCAAAGGTATTTATGCAAAATGAAAAAAAAAATCTTCACACCAATTCTATTTTCAATAGCAGTAACAATTATGACACCTTCACATTCTGCATATTTAATTGCAAACACCTGTATTTTCAATTAAATAACTCTTTATAAATTATTTATCAATAAGAGCTTTGTTGTATTATCTCTGAATAGTTCTCACAATCATGATTGCCAAAACTTATTGCCATTGTAGGAGTACTATGTGTATTGCAGCTCTAGCAGAAGTAGGTAAGTTATCATAACAGATCTTATTCCTCTTCAAGCTGGCTTTGAATTCAGAGTTGTCCTTCTCCAAGACTGGTTACTTTACCAAAGATTAAAAAAAATGTCTGTCCTATTATTTGTAGGGGTTTTTGAATTTACAGTTTTCATTCTCTTAGATTGGTTGCCCTACCAATGATAAAGAGCATAGTCTGTCCTATATCTTCTTGTTTTCTTTTTTTAATGCACAGTTTTTCCTTCTAGACAGTCTGCCCTATTATTTATGGGTGTTTTTGAATTCAGTTTTCCTTCTGCACTGGTTGCTCTAGCAAAGATAAGTAGCACAGCCTCTCCTATTGTTTGAGTGTGTTTTTAAATTCACAGTTTTCCTTCTTCTAGATGAGTTATTCTAGAGGAAGATAGAGCACAGTCTGTCCTGCTGTTTGAAGGGGTTTTTGAATTCACAGTTTTCCTTTTCTGAAACTGGTTGCCCTACCAAATATAAAAAAAAATGTTCAGTCTTCTTTCATATTTCTGAGAGTCTCCTAGACTGGTTGCCCTAGAGAAGGATGAAGAACCCAGTCTGTCCTATTATTTGTAGGGTTTTTTGAATTCACAGTTTTCCTTCTCTGAGACTAGTTGCTCTACCAAGGATAAAGAGCCCTGTATAACAAAGTAAACTGGATCCATTCCTTTTCCAGGGCCAATAATGCAAAGTTAATGAAACAGACTCACACAGAATTTGAACTCAACATGCCAAACCCATTTTCAGTAGCACTAACCATTATGCCACATGCATTTCTTGTATATTTAATTTCAAATACCCGCATTTGAAATTAAATATAACTCTTTACTAATTATTTATCGTGAAGAGCTTTGGTGCATTATTTCTGAATATATAATTGAACAGAAAAGTGGCTCTCAAACCAACACTATTTCAAAACAAAGACATTTTAGGATATTTTTAAGCCTAACTGCTATAATATATCAAGGCTAAGGTTTTATGCTGCTATTTTTCTTACATGAAATTTAGTCATTTATAAATAGCATCAATTAATCTCAAAGAATGGCTTCTAAAGCCATTATTAAAATCTGTTAATTAATTTTATCAAAACAAACCTTGAACACAGCACTTAAGCTATTTTTTCTTGGAAGAAAATTCATCTTACATCTGATTAACATATATTCACATCCACAGGAATGAACACAAATACATTCACTCAGCTGCATACATTCAGGTGAACACATGCATACGTTCAGCTAGAATATACACCGATTCATCAATACCAGCACACATACAGTTATGGCTATATCTTGCTCAAAAATACCAGTTCTTCAAAGTTAAACAAGATTAAGCCTGGTCAGTATCTAGATGGGTGACTTCTTGGGAATACCAAGTGCTGTAAGCTTGGAGGTGTGAGTAGTGCAAATATATAAAATTATAAAACGGATATTTTATCTATTTTAAATTATAAAATCATGAATAAAAAGGAATCAAGACAAATATCTGGTTACTAAATTTAATTTTTTTTTTTTAACTTCATGAAGCATTCCATGAACAATGGAACTGTGCATTCTTTGCAGTAAACTTCTTTTTTTAACCATTTCATCCCAAACAAGGCAATAAAGCCACTAGGATGCAAGAGCTTGACTGAGAATATGAGAAAAACTACTATTAAGGAGAGAGGACAATAAAAGAATAAGAATTAAGAAGTTAGAAGAGTATTCCACAAGTGAGAGAAGAAACTGTTAGCATAGAACTTACAGTTACATCTAGCCATTTCAACTGTAAAAGGATGAGACCTTGCCACCATTCATTTAGTTGTCTCCTCCAATCCCTGAAGTTAAGCAACATTGAGCCTGGTCAGTACATAGATGGGTGACTGCTTGAGAATATCAGGTGCTGTAAGATTGGATGTGCAGTTGATGTAAAACTATAAAAAGGATAATTTATTATAGATTATAAACTAATGTAATAGGGAGAATAAAATAAATGCCAGGTTACTAAGTTGAATATTTTTTAACAGCCACATTCTCCTTGAAGCTGTCCATTCTTTACACCAAGTTGTCATCATTTTTTTCTTCTTGTACAATCATCAAAGTTAAGCAACATCAGGCCTTGTCAGTACCTAGATGGGTGACCACTTGAGAATATGAGGTGCTTTAAGCTTGAATGTGCAGGTGGTGTAATAGAAAATGGCACTGAATTGTTAATTGGAGAGCTTAATTCCAATTCCCATTTGGGTCATTATATTCATTTACATGCAATTACCCTTGGGAAATGTATGAATCCACCTTCCCCCACCTATGGGTTAATTAGTAGGACTTGTATAAGTCAATCTCCCAGAAAATGCTTACAATCTAAAAATATTTTCTGGCTTTAAATAACCTGCAAATGGTTGGTAAGCCATAAAAACAAATTAATCATAAACTTACACATATGCCTGTTTATGCATTCACATATATATCCTTGCACCAAGAATGACTCATTCACTCAAGTCCGATAGACTCCACTGAAGAGTATGGGGACATGGCTTTCAACATGCTATGTATTAATGCTGTGCTTTCTGCAGCAAGGTTATTTTTTGAAGGAAGGAGTTGCTAGCTGCATGTCAAACCAGCTTAGAATTCAGAGTTGTCTTTCTCTTAGACTGGTTGACTACCAAAACTGAAGAGTCTAGTCTGACCTACTGTTTAACCCATAGCTGGGAGAAAAAAGATGCATGTAATGAACAACTGAAATTCAAACTCAGCTTGTGGATTTTTTTCAGAGATGCTAACTACCTTCTAACCCCAGCTATGGGTTAAATAATAAGACTTGCATCTGAAAAAAATCATTTTTATTCTCAAAATAAATTGTTAATGCAATATACACTCCCCAAAAACAAAACAAAGAGAATTAATCTTACAATCTAAAATATTTCAGTGTTAAATAACCCCCAAAAGCTTGATAAGTGAAAATATCCTTGGGAGAGGTATGAATATATTTCCCACCCATAGTAAAATAGTAGGATTATATCTAGAAAAATCCTTGTTATTCTCAAATAATTTGTCAATGTAACATTCACTCACAAAAAGAAAATTATTTTGAAATTTAAAATTTTGGCTTTAAATAACCCACAAAAGGTATAGGCTGTAAAAAAAAAAAAAAAAAAAAACAAACAAACGCACGAGCACATTCACCTTCAGTGAAGTGCATATATTTCAAAATGATGCTACATTTTCTTCAAGTATGGGATTTAGTGGAAAGCCAAGTAAAATCAACTTGTGTTACAAATGAAATCATCCTGGATATCAAGACAGAACTGAAAGAGATGACAAGTGAAAAATTAAAAAAAAAAGAACAATTTCTCTTTTTCTTTCTTTTGACAAAAACAAACACAAAGAACTGTCAAAAGAATGATAACTCTTTCAGACGAGAAATGTAAACAGGAACCAAATTGTTATAGTGGAACACACCTATTCTATAGTTAATAGACTCTCTCACCTATAGATTCTTGACAAAATCCAAAGAACCATCTGTAATACAATTGATCTCAACCTGGCATCTCAGCTCCAGTTATTTTGCCAACACCATAATGTGACTTCCCGCTGCCTTTTCTATAAATACCTTCATGGCAATTGTTCTAATGAGTTCTCATTCTTGGTACATCAACTGCATGAATTTAAGCATAATACCATATTGACAAACAGGTGTCAGTGTTTTCCTGTTGAAATTGATAGATGTAAATCATAAGTTCTATGCAAACAGTTTCTTTTCTAGTACCTCTTGAACTCTGTTTCAGGTTCTTGCTTCTCTACCACCTAAAATCATCAAGAATTTAAATGTAACGTCAATCATCGTCTTTTGGTTTCCTGAATCCTGTTCTTTTGTTTTTCTCCTCATTCTCTTTCACTCTCAGTCACCCCTGGCATCTTAATGGCATTATCACCTTGCTAGGAAGTGAAATGGTGAAAAAAGAAAATGTTATTCATAGAAAATAATATGAGATCATAATAAACAAGTCAATATGAATGCTATGCACAGTATGTGAGTGGCATAATCCTCATAAAAACAAAACAATGATTTCAACGCAAAAAAATATTAAATTTATCATAATTTGTCATATAGGAAGAAAATGAGTAACTACTGACAGCAAGGTTTGAGCATAACATTCTGGACTTATGAATATATGTTTTCTGCCAGACGTATAAATAGTGGTGTCAGGCTTCTGACGGCAGTGATTTTTGAGTGTCTCTTGAGTGGAAGTATCAAGTCAAATTAGTGTGAATTATTGTGTGTCAATGATTTGAGTTTTGACTTAGGATTTACCAGACATTAAGCTAAGCCATGCTACGAACAAGGTATTCACTGAAATGGTTAATCTTTAGTTGACTTTTACTTTGTTCTTGTTAAGTATATATTTGCAGTTGTAATTAAATACTGTTTTATTTAACACTGAAGTCTTGAGTCAGACTTAATTATTAATGGCCAATGTTCATCACAAAATAATTATAAGTGAATTTAAATATATTATAATCATGTTTTTATTTAGTTAAACTGTATGTTACACAGTGCCATTACCACATAGATAACAGACTGTTCTTTTTTGATCACAGGGAAGTATAAAAAAAAGACATACCAGAAACACAATTTCAGTAAAGGAAAAAAAAGAAATGCTCTGCTATTACTTCATAAATAATAGACTATTCCATTGAAATCACAATGAAAGGTGGAAAAGACATATCAGAGATGCTGTTTTGGTTTCAGTGAGAAAAAGAGAGCAAGAGAAGATAAAAGCAATGATAATGCTCTCATGTGTTTAACAAATGCTTCAGTGAAATGAAAAACTTATCAATATCAGTTCTTTTCATTTGCACCCTCTTAGTTCTTTAAATAATAACCTGCATTCATATTTATGGTTGCTAATCTAATATTTTGTTGAAGTTTTTAAGCTCAAAAATTTCACAAGACATTAGATATCCACAGGTATTTTATAGTTCTGAAGAATACCAGGAGTTTATTCAATCATTAACTTAAGAATGATGATTCATCAAAAAATTAAAATAGAAAAACCATAAACTTTATACTAGTACTGCTAGTTTTGATTAAGAGAATTTTTCTTTTATGTGTAATGTCCATTCACGACATAATTGAACATGGCCCTCCATTTTTTCCTGTCCGTTGTAACTCTTAATAAGTTTTGTCTTTTTGCCATTTCTCCCAGACTTACTGAAGCCCACCAAGTATGTTATGTACTGCTTTTCTAGGCTCCTCAATCTGTCCTATGAGTATCAGATTTTCCAAGCTCTCCTTCCTCATTACTTGCCTCCAAAATTTTATCTGATTCTTCCTGATGTTAAGTATAAGTTTTCTTTTTGTTTTCCTTTTCACCAAAACAGTGTTGCTGCTCACATGTTTGGTCTATGGTATCCTCAGCATCTTTCTGTAGAACCACATTTCTTTTGCTTCCATTTTTTTTAAATTTTAAAAGGTTTCTCTTTCTTCATCAAGTTATTTTGGGAAGAGAAATGAACACAAGTAGAAATACATGCATATATATATATATATATATATATATATATATATATACTAGCAGTATTACCAGTCTTTAACTGGGTCTTTCATTACTGAGAATTTTTGCCATTCAATTGGAACAGTTTAAGTTTCAAGTTATCCCATCCAAAAAATCAATATTAGTAACAACATTTGAGTGAAACTGAGGCACATCCCCAAATGGCAGGTTAACAATGTGAATGGGGGTGGTCCTGAAAAGTGAACTGTATAATAATAAATAAAAATATTGTAATAGTTTAAACTCTTTATTTTTATGAAAGATATATATCCAAGAACAGATAGTAAATAGTAAAACGTTGCTGAGTGTTATAATGGACAGGAAGTAGTGGAGAGCCATTGTCACCAACAGTTTGGACTCAAAACTGGCACTGAAGAATTATCTATCAAACTAAAAAATTTCAATCGGATGAAAACTGTGGAAATGCATAAACAACATTCGATCACATACACACACACATTTTGAGAATGATATATATATATATATATATATATATATATATATATATATATATTATTCGGATTGAAGGGTGCAATAATTTATGATTTCATAGGAAACCATAGTTCATACAATCAAATACAAAGCTGAATGAAAGGAAAATAGGAAAAAATGCTGAAGTGTTTTTGTTGTACTCGGCTTTCATTAATCTTCAAAAGACAATATTTAACATAAAAAAAAAATATTGCTTACCAAAAGCAGGATTTCAGATCAATAACTTACCTGGAAAGAAAAACAAAAAACAAAATATATTTAATATATCACAAGAAAGACCAGGGGATTCTAGTTACTTCCAAGAATTGCTCAAAGACTATTGAACTTATTCTTTTGACAGCTTTTATTATTGCTACAATGTTTTGGTCATTCTATTGCATGACCGTCTAATGTATGATGCATATGCAAAGAATGCGGAGGTACTTCAATGTGGTGTAATGGTTAACAAGTGTATCTTGCTAGATCTATTATGACTGAGTAGCAAGTTCAATTCTCACTGGGTGCCCCATACTTTCAATCTTGTGCCACATGTATGTTATGCTTAGGAAACTGCCATGGGCACTTCGACATGGTGCAATGGTTAGAAAGCTTGTCTTGTTAAAACAATTACAACTGAGTAGTAATTTTGAGCCTCACTAGGTGCCCTGTGCTTTCTGCCAGTCTGCCACATCTATGCCAGATGTAGAAAATCACCAGGACTTAAGTGCTCAATGCCTCAAGCAAATACACCAAGACAGAGCAATTATGATTGAGTAGGGAGTGTGATCCTCACTGGGTGCCCCATACTTTCAATCTTGTGCCACATCTACACTTAAAAAATCATCATAGGCAAAGAGTGAAGGGCCTATTTTTCTTTTAGTGC